GGTGATACTACTGAGTAGGGAGGCACGCGAGCAGTATACGTTGTTCGTAGAATTTCGCTTTGCGTCGATCAAAAAACCGAATTCCGTCGCGGATTTCGCAGGGACACCTTGTAACATTTGCTTTTATTTGGCCGACGAATGATTAAAGGCAATGAGTCTCCAGGAAGACTCGCTCGGGAGGAGATCTGTGTCCAGTTTTTGTAACTAAGATGCAGATTAGAGTTTTGCTTGCTTGTTCAATGGTCTGTAACCGGTCAGTTGGCATTTCCGAATAAATAACTCCGCAGCGACGGCCTTCTTCCTTTTCACCAGTATACTCATGAGCATAACAGGCTGTCAGCTCAGGCTATCACGCATAGTTGCGGCCTTAGTTTTACGGGCCCGCATAGATATTAGCTTGATGTTCACCACACATAGCACAGATAAGCGGCAACAAGTGCGCTTATGAGTATGACGTCCGTCAGCGTCGTACATAGACACGGACCAAGAGATTACGATGAGATACTGAAGTGAGTGAAAAGGGCCTTTTTTATCATGGCCAGCGGCAATGAACGCCCTTATTTGCCACTATTATATCTGCGCGTTGTGAGGTATTTTACCGATGAAGCGCAGTACTCCTAATACGAACGATATTATTTCGCTGGTAATTTACGTGCATTCATCTCGCGATCACAGGCTAGTTATGCATTTCTTGGAAATGGGATCATCTACAGAGATGCCCTTCACTTTGCCACCGCAGTTGTCTAATAGCGCCTTACTTAATGGAAGTCGAGCTCCATCGGAAAAAGTTCGCTGAACAAAATTATCACATTTGTTATACCTGAGGAGTATGAAGTGAACAAACGTCACTGACCAATTTTCCTGGGTGGAATATGCATAGGATATTCTGCAGATGTTATTTAGTTCCTAAACTACATGGAAGAAGGACAAAGTTGACTCAAGTGCGATTTCGTGTCCTCTCTCATAAACGCCAGCGGCTCGAAGCACAATGCATTTTTCTGCAAAACCCCTGCGGGTGAAATAGAAACTTTAACGTCATTGTGTTGAAGTTCTTTGTATATATGCTCAGTCTGAAAACCCCCTCATCTGCCGTCATTTTTTGCGATTTGTTTTAATCGATCTCTTTTGAAAATTATTGGCGCACATTCGGCTTTGAACTTCGTGTGCTATGGCTTCGGAAGTAGCTTTCGCTGAGAAATTTGTAGGTTTTCATCCTTCACTGCATTTGAGAAGACCTTAAATGAATACATGAAAGATAGCTTTGTGGTACTTGTACGTTCATCCAGTAATCTAAGCACCAACGCTATTTTGCGTTACGAATGGGTGTAATGCAGCAGGCGCCCTCCAAGGCCAACGGAAAGCCGTGGTATCCGAAAAAGCTAGTAAGCCTAGCGTATTTTCCAATAAAAAATGCGCGAAGCACCAGCTGTCCAGTGCGGCTTTGTCTACGGAGGCAAAGGAACCAACTGGCAGTGACCTTTTATTTTCTGGAGCACAACCACAAACTGTCAAATTTCTGTACGATCGGCTTCCAGTAAATCGACGCCTGACCGAAGACAAGTTGGGCACATGCAAGGCCCTGCTGAGATATGGAACGCCGTCATCTGATGTG